CCCCCCCCTCGACCAAGTTGCGGAAACTCCGCACATTCGAGCTGAGTAGTGGCTCTGTATCGGTTCCTTCTCGGTCCAGCACCCTAAATACGGCCCTCCAAAACGTAGGTAAAGCTTCAATAGAAGCCATGCGCGGTTGTCTTTGTGAACGACAAGAGGAACTGGTCCCGAAAAGCACCCACTCCAACTGTTCCAGCCCAGAACAGTCAGATCCAGAGGGATTAGCTCTCGAGGCGCTCAGCAGTAGCGTGTGCAAATTGTCGACATTTTCAACCCAACACAACGTGTGTGGCCCCACCAAATCGCAACCTCCAACCGCGGAAACTGCCAGAAGAAACTCTATTGTGGAGATAATTAATCTAGTGTCTTCACAAGAAGAGGAGGTGAGGGATGATGGTAACGTGAGCGATAGCAAAATAGCGGAGACCGCTTCATACATTAAGGCGATCCCGAACCGCCATGCCCGATGAAAGATACGGCATCAAGCAAAGGTGATGAGTTTGGATTGGCTACAACAAAGGTCCAGACGACGCCGGCACCAAGCCAAATGTGCCATTACGAGAAAAGGAACAACAATCTACCACGCCAAGGCTGTGAAAGCTATTGCAATGGTTTAATTGCTCCAGGTACCGAGGGTGAAGCAACGCTTAGCGGATCTACGTGATAGACGCCCCTGCTACCCGGACCCAGATTTAAAAGAGATTTGGGACGTTCTGCAAGAGGTTCAATGGTCAGCGAACATCCAGGCCACCCAGTTGTGCAAGAGCAACAGTGTAAGATTTCCAGATATTGGAAGCTTTGATCCTTGCCAATGCAATGGAGATTGCTTCGGGGACGTGTGCTCCAACACTGTGGACATCGACGTTCTGTACACACAGGCTCTGTAACCTTGGAGCCAAATGTAGCAACGAGACGCGAACGCTGACTACGCCGAAGCTATTCGAGACTGAACGTGTGGGCCTAGGTGTGAACACTACGACGGACCTTGACGTCAATGACGTCGTGGGAGAGTACTGTGGCGGGCTGTTAGAGTTTCCAGCTCTTGTGGAAGGGAAGCCGACGCAAGCTGTCAAGCAGAACAGTGGCTATCCGCTACTATACAACGCAAAATCCACCAAGGGGAACTACGTGTACGTTGACGCGCTAGCTTGCGGGTCTATAACTCATTTCATTTCACACGCCGGCGACTTCAACGCTGCTTTATTTGAGCTGCAGACTTGGTCCCGTGTGAAGGTGCTAGTGAAAATGATAAATGATGTTAAGGCCGGCACCCAAATCGCTGTTCACTATGGCGAAGAGAGGTAGTTTCAACGCGCATGCGATGAATGCTGGGGGGGGGGGGGAAGAACGGGGAAGGTGAGGAGAAGAACGAAGATAACAAATGACAGAACGCAAGAAGACGCTTAAAAATTCAAGGACACGTAATTCTTCACGTGTAGTACGTGCAGAGCAGCTTGTTTTATAGGTTCGGACCAGCAGAACTCATTGCCAAACTAAAATGTAGATGCTGGCTTCAATAGAAACTGAGAGCAGGTCCTACGCCTTCCGGACATCCGGAGCTAACACTAACGTGTTTCCTCTTGCGTCTGTTGACATAGATATCGTGACCGCTGCTGTCGATATGTGCGGTGACGCGTAGCGCAAACAGCACGCGTACACATGTGCCAAATGCGAAGCAGTAGTCGCAAGGGCACCATTGGCGATCAGCGTCTACAGGCCACCCTCCCCACGGCTCGCCTTCAACTCCCTTGCGGGCATAGTTAGCCCCCATTTGTGCAGACACAGCTATACCGTCCTCGCTGCGTTTGTTGGGGGCTACAGCAATCCGAGGTGCGGCCAAAATGATGGCCCGTAGAATTGAATAGACCCCAGCACGCGCTGTATCCACATTTTACTCCTCCGCCAGACCCAGTAAGTTAGCACGCATGAACTCCGGCACCCTACGAGCGAGGGTTCGGTCGGGCATACTCTAAACTCGAATGCCCGCACAGTACTCGATTGATCCTGGCAGCACGCGCTCAATTCTCTTAATAGGGATCCCATTTTTAAGCGACGACGAAGCGTGTAGTCGCGTTTCAATAAAGCGTTAAACGTCTCCACCGGGTTGTTGGTGGAGGCAAAATTGGGGGGATGTAGCGAACACTTGCCACGTCGCAAAGCTTCCGGTCATCCATTGAACGAACATGTACTTGGCAAAGGTAACTAGCGCTGGTTCATCCATTCAGCGTCTTAAAATGGGGCCCAGCATCTCCAAATAGCTCGTTTCACAACGCGCAAAGTGTAGATAGTACACATCTTGTAATAAAGTAGCCGCCAAACCCAAGGAAACGCTTAATGTGCTCCTAAACGTTTTTTTCATTACGTGAAAAAAGCACATGAGGAAACGGTAGGCGGGGATATCTCCAGACACGGCAGCCCGCGCATTGCACTGCGCCTGATCTCCGTCCGCCATTGCGTAGTTAACTTTTAGTTCCTTTGCCGTAACCCAGTAGCACAGTCGTCGTAGGGCCGACAATGCCGTCTGAAATACTGGATGTGTCTCTTGGGGTATCACAAATAGAGCAACGAGGTGAAACCGGCGCGAACGGTCTGATATCCCCACAACCAGCACTAGGTATCAGCACTGAATCATCTTGTAGGTAGCGTCTAAGTGTAAAATAAAGCTCTCAGGAGGCACCATGAGCCTCAGCACCAAAGCTTTTGTCGAGAGCTCAACAATAAAGGGCTTGTCGTCGGATCCGTTGCCTCTAACGGACTTGCCCGCATTATCGATCTGCCAGCCAAACGTGAACGACTCTGTCATCGCCTCCAAGCCCGTATAGGCACGCTTGTGTACCCAGGCGCTCAGCTTGTCCATGCGGTCGTGGTTCTCCGGGCAAATTCGAGAGTAGTTATTCACAAAGTTTTGTATAGTCTTCAGTGGTACTACGTCCTTGAGAGGGGTGCCGAATTTGCGAGACAGAGCGTGTATGGTGCGCATCGTGCGGAGGTGGTTGTCCGCCAACTCGCGGCAACATGCCTTCTGCGTGTTGTTTAGCTTCTTGCGCCTCGGCGACGTCGCGGCTGACGTGTGCGCCCCGTACTAGAAGATCGATGCGTGCCCGGACTCCAGGCACTTAACGATCTTCCCTCTCCAGCCGCAGTAGCCGGTACTAGTCTCGCTGCATGTCAGCAAAGCGCAGGCATGCAGGTTATCCTGCCAGCTATTGCTGTTATCCCAGTATAAACCTTCTACATAGCTTTTTGTTATGACCACGTGCTTAATAGTCCTTTTGCAATAACTTAAAATTCACCTAGAAGCATGGATGCTTGACAAACTCGATGTAGCTGCTTAGCCAAATATGCACGTAATATCGAGTTTGCACAGCGGTCGGTTGCAATGCGTTTGCCGCGTTTAGCAGGAAATGTGTACGAGAGAACGAAAAGAGTAAACGTAAAAGACCCTCAACAAAACTAAGCAGTTTGCCTGCAAACTCGTGGTACATTTCTAAATTCAACTGTCAGCGTGCACAGTGTTGCTGCGGCACGGCTAACCCTACGGGAGTTCAACTGGAACGAACTACATGTTTTCGGGCAGCAATTCAGAAGGACAAAACACTTCCAGAGCTCGAGTTGTCGACTACTTGAAAGTGGTTGATGAAGATCCCCTAAAACGCCCTACAGCATCCCAACTCCGCTTCATCTTAGCGGGTAACAATCGAAACGAACCCCCTAAGACAGCGAGAACGGCCGTGGAGTGATGACATCAATATGTTCTGCGCCATAACGATTGTCTCCTCTTGTTTTCAGCCTCCCATCTTATCGGCCAAACCAGGAGTCTAGACAGTGCGGTGATCCAGCTTGATGATGGCTTTTCACTGTACCACCAAAAACATGATGACCACATACTGCATCGTTTTGGATGAATACATGCCGTCCTTCTCAGCTTCCGACTGCTGCAAGTACTTAATTTGAGAAAGTTACTGTACCAGCTACCTCAGATGGGAGCCATACAATGAATAAGACACCGTATTATCAACTAGTTATAGCTTTACTAATTATAGCCAAAGTGACACGGGCCGACATCGCCTTTGCGGGCGACTCAAGTTTCGGCACATGCCAGATTGTGTCATTGGATCATGCGTATACAGGCACTTTAGTATCTAAAATGGTTTTGTGACTATTAAATCCACTTTCAGAACCCTAACCGCTAACGTCATGCATTCCCTGACGGTGAATGAGCCCCGTCAGTGACCGCGTCAAGAACGTCAAATTTCAGGAGTGTAATCACCAACTAATACAAAGTATCATTATCTACTCGATGCACGGCAGGATGGACAAATTACCATCGAGCACTGTTCAACGTCCAAACCTCACAAATTTAGACTAGTAAAAAAAGCACTAGGTAAGTTTCCGTTTACACGTCTAAATGCTGATCTCGGGTTGGTATCGTCAAGTCGCGTCGGCTGCACAACCAGTCTCTAAAGTCACAATGCCACCGCCATCTTGAGCTCTGACTTGGAGGGGATGTGTTAACGCTACTCCATGCAAAGTAGTCATTTTTGTCTCGCCAGGTTACAAATGGCGACAGGCGGGATGCTCAATAGACAAGACATGCAATAAATCCAGTGCAAACAAAGAGCTAGCTCCTTTTTACCCTAATCGCTTATCTTATCAAAGACGAATGCTGCACCAAGGACAAATGCTGCAGCAAAACGGAATCAATGTTAGGAAGAAATTTGATGTCCAAGCAGGAGAACTATAAGACGAAGACATTGGTAGAGTCGAGCTTTTCTTTTTTTAAAGCAATTACAGGTATCACTGGACCTTTACGTCTGTCACGTTTGCCACCCCTAACCGTAAGGGATTATTTTAACCAATGATTTTGGGCCATTTGTGTCACTACAGGCCTATTAGGACCCACAAACGCGAAAATAATGGACGTCCTCACTCACTACCTACTTATACCCTGTTATACTTGATAAAAGCTGAAGCATCTGTGGCGCTATTCCTTTTCGTACATCATCAAAGCCTCTATAATATGGGTGAAGGATCCGCGACCTTTAACGAGGGGGAGCATTGTACTGAAAGCGTTAGCTCTTTAACTCTTTCAATTGTTTCAATACCGTCCATTATTATCAGTAACGTCTATTGTATTGTGTATAGTGAAAACGTTCCACGTGCCGTCTAGCCACCATAGTGGTTCAACATCAGTATGCGTCGAGTTATATCAGGCTCTACTAGTTGCTTTCTTTCTCTCGGTTATAGTCCGCCCAGCGGAGCGTGCGCGAGTAGCCCTACAATAATATTTTTTTTTCAGTTGTGGCGATCGTGCACGCATAGTCGGAATAGATAGAGGTCTAGGGTCGTTGAAGCCCGTGTCCTGATGAAAGCGTCAGGAGATCAGAGGATGAGTGAGTCGTCTTCTGTCAAGTCAAGTGCCTTACTCGCTGGGTCTGCAGTAGCCTTCCATAAAGCGATAGACTGGAATTACTGCTGGTCGGCGGAGGATATGGCCAAAGCGCCTTCAGCAGCTGAGTAGAAGGCCGTTCGGAGCGGTTCCGTGTCAGCGCGATCGTAACGTGTGTTGTTCGAGATCCAGTTATGTTATCGCAATCCGATTACAGCCCTTGGCTGTACCCGATGGAAGCGCTCGAGATTGGATAAATCAGATTACGTGAGCGCCGAGGTCCTGCCGTTGTAGAGAAGTATGGACAAGACGTAAGCATTGTACAGTCTGAGCTGGGGGTCTTGTGAATTCTTCATGGTTGAAGTTACATCTTTCACATTCGGTAAAATTCTGCTGGAGCGAGGTTCTTGCACCAATAGGTAATCTCCCTCACATGAGATCAAGTAATCCTTGTCAAGACCGATACTGTGTGATGCGATCGATTTGTACAGGTGTATCGTGAGACACTCGGAAATTTAGTGAATGACTTTTTTTTGTCGAACTTGATGATATGTAGGCTAGACATACTACCACCATGCGGTTTTAAACGACCGATTAAAAAAATTACGCATAGATACACCTCGTTATGATGTAACAATATCAGTCTTGCGAGGTCACGCAAGACTATCAAAGTAGGTAATCTAGGTCTGATGGAACATGAAGTGATGGTGGCGCGATTGCTGCAAGCGTGTCGTAGTACAGTTGCGAGTTACAGGGCAGAGAGATTGGCAGATTACGTTCTCGCAACAAGTGATCCTTCTTAATGTAAGTGAGACGACATTCGTTGCCACCACAGCGGCGCATAATATGCTGAATCATTAGCTGCAGGGTCACAAAGGTCTTATTTAGCGTGGTAGCCTTCGTAGCCTCGAACCCCAGATGCACTTCCTCGATAAGGTCTTCGACGTTACGTGGCCGCGTCTGAGACTGCAACGACTGAATGCTGTCGAAGAAGCCGACGTCCCGAGCGTTCAGGTCTGGGCTTTGCGCTGGTTGGTTCGTTAGGCGGATGCTCCAACCGTCGGTTGTGACGGCCTCAAACACCTCACGATCTTCCACGTCTACGTGAGGGCGGCATTGTCTTGTTGAATCTTGATGGGGACGTGCATTTGGTCTCGTGGCCAACTCGACTTGATTGCTGGGATTACATCCTGCAGTAACATTGAGCAAGCAAGATCGCGCGTCATCGAAACCGGTTTTAGCTCCATAACACCTGCCGGCGGTTGATACAGCCGCGCCAAGTCAGGGACTCTTCCACTACTGGCCACATTCCAACCTTATCATCCCAATTGGCCCTTGGACGGGCAACAACACACTAAAACATCACTTTGGTGAAGTGACGCTTGCTGGACGTACTGGCCGGTGGCTCCTCGGTCAGCACATCGTTGTTACCGGTGAGGACGTACAACGTTTGACCTTCCTTCCTGATGTAGAACCACTTCTCGTCTATATGGACAACATCGAGAAGTGGGTCAAAGTAGTGGCTCCCGTCCACGGCTTGTTGGACATGCTGCGCACTGAACCAGGGCTGCCGAATATAGCATATAATTTTTTAATACATTATCATATTGATAATGCAATTAGTATTGAGAGGTCATCACTATATTTAAAATGTTTTACCCATATTATAGTATATTTTAGCCAAGTGATTCACCAGCTTGAAATTGGTATATTTTAACTAAGTGATTTCCCTACTTGCAACTGGTATACTTAATCCAAGTTATTACCGGCTCACAGCTACCTAAATCGTTTGCAGCCAGTACTTTAAAAGAATGGTTGAGAATAGCCTTT